CCCGTTCTTTGTTCTTGTAATGCTCTGTGTACACTGCATCATTATTTTATTTAATTATGTACGTTGATATTTAATTTTACAAATAACTAAAACACAAGAACGAAAGAGCACGCAGAGCATGCACATTGCTCTTTGATTGTTTTTGTTCAAAGTGGCAGTGGTAATGTCTGCCATGGTGTCAGACTACCTGGCTTCATGTACTGGGATAGAGAGTGAAAACAGTCACGATGAGCGCCTTCTGTTTGGTTACTTCTTGCTTGTTGCTCCTTGGTCAGTGTTCATGGTTGAGCGTTATTTACCGTCAGGGCATTGCCTCAATTGCTATGTTTAATGGTGCAGACAGTGGTGGCTTCTTATGGGCAAATGCCCAGGGCGTTATGTTTTTAGGGATGGCATGAGACCATCACACTTTTCAGCACATAAATGGAATATTTAATATTGGTAAAATGTATTAAGTATTTAATATCTAGGTGTTTTTATGGGAATTAGGATCTTTCAGATTATTTTGAGAAGCAATTTCGATCATATTTTACATTTTATTATATCATGTAGCATGGGCCGCTGGTCTTGGTCTTGATTCGATCTCGACTTCCCTCGGTCTTGGTCTTGACTTGGTCTCGGACCCTAAAAGTCTTGGTCTTGTCTCGGTCTCGATACACTCGGGTCTTGTTCTTGTCTTGGTCTCGGGTTAGGTGGTCTTGAACACAACACTGAAGCACACTTTTAAATATGTGCACAGCCACGTTGATCTTAAAATCCAACTCTTGGAAATTCTCCATGGGTTACATGGAACAACTCAAACCAAAACATAATTACATTTTTGTAGCCTAATATGCCTTATGTCACAATTACACACAAGAATTAATTGATCTGGATTTTCCTCATTAAACATTTTGTTTGTAAATTTCATTTTGTTTTTTGAAATGGAAAATATGGGAACATTAAGATGTGTAAAAAAACAAACAAGAAAACAACAAAAAAACATTGTGCAAACAGCCTCCTTGAGATTAGCTCATAGCCACAGATGCAGCGTAATGTTTGCTGCAGCCTGCTTTGTGTTTTGGTTACTGTTTTCATGGTTTGTTGCCAGGCCAACCACTTACCTCAGGGGTGTTCAGTCCTCAAGATCCTACAACTTTTAGATGCATTCCTGCTCTAACACAACTGAATCAAATGGCTGATTTTCCTCACCAGCAGTCTTTCAGCTCTGCAAAGGCAACACGCCATTCGTTAGATTTAAATGTGTTGGACCAAGGGACACATCTAAAAGTTGCTGTAGGCTGGCCTTCGAGCCTGGATTTGAGGGGAAGTCTTGAAGTAGACTGTGTGTTCAAAGTTTAATTTGTTCTGGTGTGTTTTTTGCAGGTACCCTGTAGTGGGGGTGTATACTAGACAATCCTTGAAGAAAACCTGTTAGAGGCAGCAAAAGACTCGATACTGGGGTAGAGGTTTGCCTTCCAGCAGGACACTCACCATACATATACCTCCTGAGATAGTATGGGACTGTTTAGTTCAAAACTTGTTCATGTTGGAACAGCCTAGTTAAAGACTCAACTAGAGCTAAATCCATTTGAGTCTTTGGTTGAGCTGTTCAGTATATGTACTGTTTGGAATGCAGTAAATATTAGCTAATTGAACAATTACCATCTATTCTGACTCTTGGGTGCATCATTCCCACCAGCCCTGCTTAATCCTCTTTAATCAAACTCCGGGTTTGATTAAAGGGGGAGTTCATTTGGGGAGGTGCGTAATCGAACTGTGATGGAGATGACAAAACAGAATCCTCCAACAGCTAAAATCTGACCACTTCCTTAGAAAAATAAAAAAATTTAAGGAAGTTGCGCTCACTGCTTTCTTCCAAGGTCATAGTTTAGTTTCCTCAAGTGATTCTGTGCAGTGCCATCATAGGCGGGGCGAGTGTTGGGGTGCAGGGGAGATTGTTCAATATTGGTTGGTTTGATACAGTATAGTGTGAAAGAGAACTGCAGAAGCTGAAAATGGAACAAATGTTGCAATTTGGTCACCAGTTCAACCAGCCTTAATGCCAGCAATATAATTGTAGGTTGGTTTGGAACTAAATGTTTGGGAACTTTGTTACTGGTTCTGGTAAAGTCATTACTAAACTGTCACTATATGTCATGGCAACTATTGGTAGCTGCCATGACATATAGTGAAAGGCAGTTCAAGCAGATATATTTTTGCAATGAAATCATGTTGTTGAAATGAAAATGATGAGTTTCATTTAGGGATGCTCTGATCAGGTTTTTTGATGCCGATTCTGATGCTGATCACCCATGAAGCCGATCTCTGTCGATCACTGATCTTTGCCGATCGCCTGGATTGACTGTTTATTTTTCGCGTTAGTTATAAATGATACTATGTGATCTGGCAAAATTAAAAAGTGAAAAATTCACCTAATTAACATAAACATGTAACATACTTGCAGGTACAATACAGCAGCTACTCAGTCAAAAGAACTGAAAAACCTGCAACCAGTTAAACAACATTTAACAGTAAGGCTCTCAGTACCATAAATTATACGAGTCAAATAAGTCCCAACACCTCCTATATCAAATGATGTCTAGAAAAAGAGGGAAACATTCATTCAAAGGTTGCATCAAAATAAACACTCCTAAGTTACTGAATCAAAACTTACTAAATTTAGCTGATTAATGCTGGTTCTGATAGGTTGTTTCTGACTGAGCGGAGTAATTCTGCAGAACACAGGAGGAGGAAAAGGAGATGGATCATTATTTATTTATTTTTTTTCATAAATTATCTCATGTTTGGACATAGCGAAAGTTTTAATATGTGAAATCTTTGTTGTTGTTTACGTTACATGCTGCGACTTTAAGCAGACGTTCCGGGTGGAGCAGAAACGGAGCTCCGTCTGTGAAATATTACCACCAGTACCGCATAGCAGCGGTTCAACAGCGAGAGCAGAACCAGCGTCTTTCACCGCCAGCTCAAAGACTTGAATCGTTTTTCGGGTTATTTGTTTAGCTTTCTGACCATCATGCTAATCCGGGTGAGTGTCGGTAGTTGTGCGCTGCTTTACTGGCCGATCCGGATGTCAATTTTTCCTTGCTTTGAGCCTCGATGTAGCCTAACTGCGTCAAATGCTTGTTTTTTGCAAAATGCATCAACATTTCGCAAAATGTCGATGCAAAATGCATCGACATTTTGCATCAGCGTCAAAATGTTGATGCATTTTGACGTGCTTCACCCACGAGGTAATTTTCCGCTGCAACACCCAAACTTCCCCGTTCACTCAGTGTGTTAAAGTTCCACACAACAGGATTTGTTGCTGCTCGCTTGCGCAGTGTGTAGAAGTGAGATACAGGTGATTGTTTTGGTGATTGGCAACAAGAGACAGTGATCGGCGGTCACTGATCATACACTTTTTCACGGAAATCAGCCGATTATGATTGGTGGCCAATCGATCGGCACACCTCTAGTTTCATTATTTTCCAACAACTGTATAGAATACTCAGCAACTGTGCTTTGTGATCTGTGTGTGCAATAAGCCTAAAGCAACAAGACTTTCACCTGTTGGGCTAAATTTGTTCACTTATATAAAATAATGTGGCCTGTCACAATAACAAATTTTTGTTGGTCCCAGAAATTATTGCAATAAACAATAGTATTGTCATTTTGAGACCACTGTTAACTAATAGCATAAAAATTGCAGAACAATGAAAATACACCCTCTCAGATGTCAATAAACTAACTTTGAAAGAACATTTAGCACTGGAACCAGAAGACCTTTTAAATACAAAAAAATTGGAAGGGGTATTAAGGGCTTTGCATTAGGCACTGTTCACTTTCAGATCCTCTGGTTCACCAATGCATCTAAAATGCGTCAGTACATTTTAGGTGCAGATATGTTGGTTGTATTATTTAGTTGCTACTGTTTTGCAAAAATAATGGTGCCACAGGTTCAGTGGTTCACCACGGTCATTCAGTTTGAATCTAAAGTGCTGCCAGACAGCAGCTGTCATGTTCCAGCGTTTCCCTGGCTCCTGCACCAGGCTTTATGTTACACACTGTGGTAGGAGGCCACAGTAGGCTTTATTGACCATCTACAGAGGTCAATAAAGCCATCTCAAAATTGAAAGCAAGTAAGTCACCAGGTGGAGACGGATTACCAGCTGAATGGTGTAAAATTTTTAGGAGATCTATAACACCTTTTTTGTTAAATTGTTTTAATCATGTGCTTACAGGAGGTGAGACTCCACCATCCTGGAAACAAGCAATAATATCCGTTTTACCAAAACCAGGAAAGGATAAAAGTGAGTGTAGTTCATACCAGCCCAATTTGGTTTTGAACATTGATTATAAAATATTCACTTCAATAATTGTCAGTAGACTAGAAAACATTATCCCCAAACTGATTGATACAGACCAAACAGGATTTATTAAAAATAGACGTACACAGGATAATGTGAGGCGAGCGTTACACTTATTCGACATCATGAACAGAAATAATTTGAAATCTTTAGCAATCAGTTTCGATGCTGAAAAAGCCTTTGATTATGTGCGATGGGAATACTTATATCTGGTTATACAGCGGTTTGGCTTTAATTACACAATCATAAGTTGTTTAAAATCAATATAGAGTTCACCAGTTGCCTCCATCAAAATAAATGGCAGCCTTTTAGGCACATTCCCTCTGAAACGAGGATGCTGGCAAGGATGCCCTCTAAGCCCAATTCTCTTTGCATTTTTTATAGAGCCACTTGCTCAAAAAATTAGGGACCCAGAAATTAAGGGAATCATATATAAGGGAAGAGAATACAAATCATTTCTATACACCGATGATGTCCTGGTGACCTTATCTAACCCAGATGCCAGTCTACCTGTCCTCATGTCTTGTCTCCACCAATTTGGATTTTATTCAGGTTATAAATTAAATATTGGAAAAACTCAGACCCTCTGCTTTAACTATTCACCCCGAGAGGATACAAGTAATCGGTTCAAATTTAATTGGAATACAAAAACCATGAAATATTTAAGTGTTAATAATACAAAAATATTAAACAAAATGTACAAAACAAATTATGGTGCTATGACTAATAAAATAAAAACTACACCCTTTTTTAGAGAGACAGATGGGCTCCCCTGATGCTCGATTTATATAACCGAATAGAAATCATAAAAATGATCATTTTACCTCAACTGTTGTTCCTTTTTCAATCTTTATCAATATAAATTCCTAACAAGCAGTTTAATGAGTGGAACCAGATCATCTCCAGGTTTATATGGCAAAATAAGAAACCAAGGGGACGTTATAAAATGTTACAATTACCAAGAGATAAAGGAGGAATGTCACTCCCATGTTTGGAAAATTAATACAGAGCAGCACAACTGCAATTTACGGTTTACTGGTGTGAAGAGGGGTATGAAGCAAAATGGAAAGAACTAGAATTAAGTCAAATTGACATCCCTCTGCAAGCTCTGCTGGGGGATAAACACTTCAAGACCATATATTCAGATGAGTTTGTGTTTCCACAAAAGTCCCCCTCAGCATCTGGTTTAGAAAGTTCACAACCCACTTTTAGAGAGGGAAAACTCGGTTATTAAGATGGATTGAGCACGATGGGGATTTTGTACCAGCACAACTTGACTCAAAATTCAATCAACTAACCAGAAAAGGCATTACATCGTACTGCGTGATTTATTCTGGAACTGATCTGGAAAGTTTCAAACAACTGCAGGAAAAATTTGACCTTGACAAATGATACTTTTTCAGATACTTGCAGCTCAGGTACCACTTTAATAAGAACATTAAAATATTGAGAAAAAAAATGATCAGGACCTCATTAATATCTTTATTAATGCTTATAAAGGTAAATCTTATAAGAAGAGGCTGGCCAGACTATATGTGTGCTTAGAAGCCAATAAAAAACATCAACATTATATATTAAAAATACATGGGAAAGGGAGGCAAAAATAATGCTGACGGAGAATGAATGGCTAAACATATGCCAAATTAACTCCACCACCACTAGCTCAGGACATTGGAGGGAATTTTCATGGAAGAATATTGTTAGGTTTTTTATAACCCCCATAAAGAACATTTTCTCAGACCAGCAGAGCTGAATCTGGGCTTTGTTGGAGACGATGTAATAATGTGATGGCTGCCCATTGATTTATTCCTATTGGTTAGAAGTAGTCAAAGAGATAAGGGTAATTCTTGGTTTTGAAATTGAGCACAACTTTAAGTAATCTACCAAATGAACTCAACACTCAGGATAAGTACCTGTTGAGAATACTACTGATAGTAGGAAAGAAATCAATAACAAGAAAGTGGCTTAGTGGGAGCTCACCGACATTGAGAGACTGGTCAGTCACTGTAGAAGAAATATGTGAAATGGAAATGCTCACCTTCTCCCCAAGACTCCAGGGAAACAAAATTCAAAAATGTTTGTTGAAATGGTTAATATATAGGAACTCAAAAGTATGTTGAGTATAATTAATTCATTATTCAGGGTGGCAAATGGGGTTTGGTGTTGAGCGGTTTGGCAGGAGTTGGTAATTCTGGAAAGAAACTCTCACTGACTCTTGATTCTTCAGGGAACTTTACATACATTGTAACCTGTTTGTCAAAACTCTGTTTTAGTTTTAGTTTTTTTGTGATGTATTGCTGTCTCCCTCCCTTGGTTACCTCTTTGTTCTGTGTGCTGTTTATTGTCCTTGTGATTTTTTTTTCCTCTTCTTTCTTGTTGTTATGCTTTGTCCTGTATAAAAGTCTCATCAATAATAGTATTAAAAAAAGGGAGAGAAAGGCAGGAAGAAACGGTAAATCCGCTAAATTAAAATGAGGTAGATAACTTTCATTTATCGTGCAATTAATTGATATATTGTTTATTGCAACAGGCCTATTTGTCATCCGGTCTTTTTGGTAGAAAGAGAGAGAGACGCTACAAAAACAAACAAGCAATATGATCACCCTCATTTTAAAAACCTCATTAAGCTAATTTTAATTGATTTATTGTCTATTGCAACAGGCTTACTGGGCATAGCATCGTTGTTGCATGTTTTCCTAGGATCATCCAGCCCTGGTCTGTTGAACATTGTTCTAATGGGTGTTCTTCTATAAAGGTTTTAGTCAGACTGATGAAGAAATCCTTGAAATACTAGAAAATGTAACTGGACCCAGGGAGGTACTGAATACAAATGTATGCATTTTATGCCCCACCTTATTTTGAAAAATTTCAGAAAATCATGCATCACTTCAAAAGTATGAGCTGTTTGATGTTGATCTATCACAAACTCAGTTAAACACATTGAAGTTTCTGTGTTAATGTGACAAATGTGGAAAAGCTTTGGTGGTGTGTCCATAAAAGAATCTTATGTAAAACCTGTAGCATCTGGCTAAAGTTTACATGGGTGATTAAAAGAGGTCAAAGCTTTCTGGAAACACAGTCTCACTTCAATTGTTTTCATCTGAAGGCATAAGTAAAGTTGTATTTGATTTGAGTTGGTCATTGTCATATTTTGTTGTATCAGCCCAAACTTTCCTGCTGTTGCTCCATAAAGCTTTCTAACAATCCACAAGTGTTGCTCTTCACTTTTCTGCCATAACATTACATCAGTAAGTCACTGACAGTTACTTCCTGTCCTCTCTTCTCAACAGAATCCTGATATCTTCATCATGAAGAAAAAATGTAAAAATCGCCGCCCCACCATGATAAAGAGGGAGTCTTCTCCTATCAAGCCCTCCCCCAACAGAGAGACTCTCACATACGCACAAGCTCAGCGAATGGTTGAACTGGAAGTGGATGGCCGAGTGCACCGGCTCAGCATCTACGACAAGCTGGATGTCATTGCCGACGACGACCCTACGGCTCAGGAGATCCTGGAGTGCAATAGCAACAAAGAAAACAACGAGAAGCCCCAGCAGGTTCTGGTTCGCTCTGTACGCCTCAAAATGAACCAGCAGAAGAAGAGTGGTGCTCTGACTGCTTCACATGGCAGCAGCTTGGGCGGCCTCCTGGAACCAAAGGTCAGGATGGTGGAGTATAATCTCCCAGTGGTGCCAAAAAGGCCGGCCATGTATTACAAATACTCTGAGAGGACGACCGAGGAGTTGGATGAGGAGGTGGAGTACGACATGGACGAGGAGGACTACGCCTGGCTCGAGATCATTAACGAGAAGAGGAAGAGTGAGGGCATTGGCCAGGTGTCACACAATCTCTTTGAGTTCCTCATGGACCGCTTTGAGAAAGAGTCGTACTTGGCTACACAGGGCCAGAGTGACCTGCAGACGCTGGTGGATGAAGATGCTGTTTGCTGCATCTGCATGGATGGAGACGGAGCTGATAGCAACGTCATTCTCTTTTGTGACTCGTGCAACATCGCCGTGCATCAGGAGTGTTACGGTGTGCCGTACATCCCAGAGGGTCAGTGGCTGTGCCGTCATTGCCTACAGTGTCCGTCACGGCCGGCCGAGTGCCTCTTTTGCCCAAATCGTGGAGGAGCTCTGAAAAAGACAGATGATGATCGCTGGGGCCACGTGGTTTGTGCCATGTGGGTCCCCGAGGTTGGCTTCTCTGATACAGTTTTCATCGAGCCCATTGATGGCGTCCGCAACATCCCCCCCGCCCGCTGGAAACTCACATGCTACCTGTGCAAAGCCAAGGGCGCTGGGGCCTGCATCCAATGTGACAAGATCAATTGTTACACCGCCTTCCATGTCAGCTGCGCCCAGAAGGCGGGCCTCTACATGAGGATGGAGCCCGTCAAAGAGCTGACCGAGTCTGGCACCACCACCTTTTCTGTGAAGAAGACTGCCTACTGCTCTAGCCACACACCCGAAGGTTGCGACCGACGGCCTCTCAATGTCTACGATGAGCTTCGTCTCAAGAATGGAGCCTGTTACAAGCGGGCAGAAAAGAGGGGGAAACCGCGCTCCAAAAGCTGGCAGAAGAAAAAGATGAAAAAAGCAGAGTCAGAACCTGAACTAGAACCTGAAACCCAAACTAACCCTGGGCCCAGCATCACTGCATCAAGGTAATTGATCCCAGACTCTCTTTTTTTTAAGAACATTTTCGAAGCGGAGAGTCCAAAGATTTAGTGAGAATTAGACAAATCTAATGTTGGAGATGTCCACAGTCTTAAGGTGTTCTGTTAGTAAATGTGTCTTCCTGTCTGGCCCAGTTTTGATGCCATCTTGAACCAGGTAGCAGTTCAGAGGAAGCGGCAGTTTGTTGAGCGGCTGCTGAGCTACTGGGTGCTGAAGAGGCAGTCGAGGAACAATGTGCCTCTGATCCGCCGCCTGCAGGCCAACCCTCAGCCCTCTAAAGCTCAGCAGCAGAAGGTCAATGCTGCCCATCACACTCACACCCTCAACACTTCAATGTCCTCCTGATACTGATCACAAACCTTGTGTGATGTCTTCAGGAGCGTATGGAGACAAACCAGGCTCTGAAGGAGCAGCTGAAAGTGTGGCACCGTCTGCGCCATGACCTGGAGCGAACCCGGCTGCTGCTGGAGCTCATCAGGAAGCGGGAGAAGGTGAAAAGGGATGAGGTAGAGTCAGTCGCTCCTCTCTCACTGTCTCAGCACTCCATTACTACTCGATAACTTCAATAACTGATGAAATATCTGCTTAAGTATTCCATTTGTCTCACAGATGTAAATCTAGAACATTTTCTGTCTTTTTATCTGACCCCGTTACTCTGAAACCCCGTGAATAAAAAAACAGTGCAGCTGATTAGCTTCATTGGATCTTGTCATCTTTAGTCCATTCATGAACCCATTACCTGGTAACTAATGCTCCAGTAATACAGTAATAATGACAAACCAGACAAGCCCTTCTAGTTATTTCAGAGATGGACATTAAATGCCACCAAAAAAGACAGATTGGGACCCCCAACCAACATCTGGCTCTTTGATGTCACTTGTCCAAATCTGGCCTTTCTAGATGAGGAGACAAACAAAACCCAGAAAAGACCCCTTTTCCAACTTGTCTCCACATTTTAAATAATGTTTAATTTTCTGTCCCTTTGATCGTTATGTTGTACTTTGTCATTCTGTCACAAAAAACTCCAGTGTGAGAAAATGCAAAAAGCTTCTATGAGGATAAAAAGTATTTGTCTGCTCTGATTAATCAGTTCCTGCAGCAGAATGATTGTTGTGAGCAGATGTTATTCTCTCTGCAGATAAAGCTGCATCAGTCGGTGCTGGAGCTGCAGCTGACTCCCTTCAACATCCTGCTGAGAGCCGTGCTCAGTCAGCTGCAGGACAAGGACCAGTACAGCATTTTTGCACAGCCTGTCTGCATTAAGGAGGTTTGTAACAGTCATTCTTCCGAAAGACTGTATGAAACAACTATTCAGATGTAACAGCATTTCTGTCTGAAAGTTTCATTTACAGTCTCTTAGAGCAGTGGTCTCAAACTGCAGACCACTCCCCTTGAGGGCCAGAGTCCTGCAACTTGCAGATTTGTCCCCCATCCTACACATTGGAATTAAATGGTTAGCCTCCATCTCTAGCATGCACTCCTGCTCTACAAATCTCTGCTAATGAGCTAACGTTGAAGCTAGGTGTGCTGAAGCAGGTTGAGATAGGACGCTGGCCCCGGAGGACTGGAGTTTTAGATGCCTGCTCTACATGTTCTCAGCCTTGTTGTGTCTTGTTTGCCCCTGCAGGTCCCAGACTATCTGGAGCACATCAGGAAGCCCATGGACTTCTCCACAATGAGGAAACGAATCGATTCTCACAGTTACTGCAGCCTGGATGAGTTTGAGGACGACTTTAACCTCATAATTAGTAACTGCATGACATACAATGCCAAGGAAACGTTCTTCTACAAGGCGGCTCAGAGGATGCTGGACCATGGAGGGGTCATCCTACGGAGAGCTCGCAGAGAGGTGGATAGGATCGGCTTTGACTTCCCCAGCTGCCTGCATTTGCCAGAAGCCCCACAGCTGGAGTCCCCAGCTCCTTTCTCCTGGGAGGATGGTGAGTGAATGCATCCGGTTAGGAAAGGAGTGTGAAGCAGGAGTTGGCAAAAATCATTTAACAATTTCATTACAGTTTAGGGGACTACTAGACTATCTTAAGTTCATTTAGTGAACAGAATAAAAACATAAGATTAAAGAACAGAATCCTTCTTTCACACTGACCCTATCCTGGAAAAGGAGACTATTCTCTCAACTTTTATTGTGAAGGATCTTCTGACAGTTGTTGAGTCTGAACTAACCATAACCCCCACACACAAGGGATAAGAGGAAAATCTAATATCTTGATATGTTTTTGCTATATACATGACATATATCACGATATTCTTAAATGAGCTCCAATGTTATTTTAAACTAGACTCCTTGCAGCTTGATGCAATAGTGAGGAAAAAAAAAAGAATGAGTAGTTTTGAGGTTTTTTTTCCCCATTGCATAACACTAAATGGATCATACCTACGTCTCCAGGTTTCACTTTAACAAACTAGTTCTACCGCGGCAGCGCGCCTATGAACAGCATGTAAAAGAATAGTCTGATTGGGGTGGGAGAGTAAATTTGTGGTACAACCTTTTGTGGCAATAGTTTTGCAACATGTCTTACAAATTACCTCATTTTGTTTGACATTCTCCATATAAAATCCAAACCATTGCCAAATTATTAATCCAGCGCTCCGTCTCTTCGGAACTAGACTAGTTTATCTGATTCCTCAGTTACCGTCTCATTCACGGCTCGCCTCAAACTCCTGCTGTCACCATGTTGTTTGTTTTCTCCACAGAGCGTGATTGGTAGAAAATTTTCAGGTTGGGAGGGGGGAAGTACTTGTGATGCATTCATAGGGTGTTGGATAAACCATACTGACAGTGAATTTGAAAGTTTATTATTTGAACGACAATTTATACTCGATAGTTGGATATAGCCATTTTAACTATTGTAAATTGAAAATATCGCGATACATCGAGTATACTCGATATATCGCCCAGCCCTACCACCCACACACTGGAGTTATGGTTTGCCTAAACACAGTGACAGTCATGAGATCACTACAACAAGCTGGAAGGACGTCTTTAGTATCTAATGCATGGAGAACTGTTCCCACTGAACCTCATGTTGGCAGCTTTTCATGCTGGATGTGAAACAGCTGAGGTGTCTCCAAGATGAGAGCCATGAATCAGAGATATGAGTAACCTTGTCTAAACCGCTGGAGGGAGTAGAGAAGGTGAGGCTCTGGACTCGACCCTGACCCAGACCCGTGGTTAGGAGGATTTTGACTTAGGGCTGAGCAATAAATCAATAACAATATATATGTCGTAGTCAATACCAATAGAAAATAGTAGTAGCACTCTGTAGAGGTGTGCCAATCAATCGGTCACCGATCATGATCGGCCGATTTCTGTGAAACAGTATGTGATCGGTGATCGCCGATCACTGTCTCTTATTGCCAATCACAAAAACCGATCACCTGTATCTCATGCTTCGCAGCCTGCATAGGCCCAAAGTGCAACATATCTTCCCCTAATAATGGCATGCATTATTAGTCATTTCCATTAAATCAGTATCAAAAGGTCTTGAAACAATATCGTTTATCGCAATAATTTTTTAGAAAATTGATCGCTCAACAAAATTTGTTATCGTGACAGGCCTAGTCACATTAGATTCGTCGTGTTGATGCATTTTGACGTGCTTCACCCCCGAGGCAATTTTCCACCGCAACACCCACACTTCTCCGTTAACTCTCAGAGCATTAAAGTTCCTCACTACATTGCTTAGGATTTACTGCTGCGCGCTTGCGCAGTGTGAAGGGAAGAGAAGATCAGCTGCACACAGGCTGCAAATGAGATAAAGGTGATCGGCAACAAGACACCGTGATCGGCGATCACCTATCATACACTTTTTCACGGAAATAGGCCGATTATGATCAGTGGCCAATCGATCGGCACACCCCTACCTTAAACATATCAGGCTACTAGAACACGGAAGGATCAATTAAAGCACACTTTCCAAGTGAAACAAATTACATTGTGTATTCAGTATATTCACATTTTTCAAGAGTACATTGCCAATATACAGTGCCTTGTGAAAGTATTCGGCCCCCTTGAACTTTTCAACCTTTTGCCACTTTTCAGGCTTCAAAATAAAGATCTAAAATTTTTATTTTGTTAATCAAAAACAAGTGGGACACAATCATGAGGTGGAATGAAATTTTCTACAGATTCTCGATTGGATTCAGATCTGGACTTTGACTTGGCCATTCTAACACCTGGATATGTTTATTTGTGAACCGTTACATTGTAGATTTTTCTTTATGTTTGGGATCGTTGTCTTATGAATCTCCGTTCCAGTCTCAGGTCTTTTGCAGACTCCAAAAGGTTTTCTTCCAGAATGGTCCTGTATCTTCCCATCAATTTTAACCGTCTTCCCTGTCCCTGCTGAAGAAAAGCAGGCCCAAACCATGATGCTGCCACCACCATATTTGACAGTAGGAATGGTGTGTTCAGGGTGAAGAGCTGTGTTGCTTTTATGCCAAACATATCGTTCGCCAAAAATTTAAATTTTGGTTTCATCTGACTAGAGCTCCTTCTTCCACATGTTTGCTGTGTCTCCCAAGTGGCTTGTGGCAAACTTTAAATGAGACTTTTTATGGATATCTCTGAGAAATGGCTTTCTTCTTGCCACTCTTCCATAAAGGCCAGATTTCTTCAGTGTATGACTGATTGTTGTCCTATGGACAGACTCTCCCACCTCAGCTGTAGATCTCTGCAGTTCATCCAGATTGATCATGGGCCTCTTGGCTGCATCTCTGATCAGTCTTCTCCTTGTTCCAGATGAAAGTTTAGAGGTAGACTCTTGGTAGATTTGCAGTGGTGTTCTGATACTCCCTTCGCTTGCTGGGTGCTCCTTGAGATGTTTAAAGCTTGGGAAATCTTTTTGTATCCAAATCCAGCTTTAGACTTCTCCACAACAGTATCTCAGACCCGTCTGGTGTGTTCCTTGGTCTTCATGATTCTCTCCGCGCTTTAAACACAACCCTGAGACCATCATGGAGCAGGTGCATTTATACGGGGACTTGATTACACATAGATGGATTCAACTTATCATCATCAGTCACTTAGGATCATTCAGAGATCCTCACTGAACTTCTGGAGTGAGTTTGCTGGACTGAAGGTAAAGGGGCCAAATAATATTACATGTCCCACTTTGGAGTTTTTTATTTGTTAAAGTTTAAAATATCCAATAAATTTTATTCCACCTCACGATTGTATCCCACTTGTTTTTTTATTACTCACAAAATAATAATTTTTTTTAGATCTTTATTTTGAAGTATGAAATTAAAGAGGCAAAAGGTTGAAAAGTTCAAGTGGGCCAAATACCTTTGCAAGGCACTGTACATTTTTTTAAGCTATTATGATTATTTAGCTACTTAATGTTCTAAGATGGTGGTATGCAGCAGCTGACCACTGCTTTTAATTCACATCAAGCTTATTGTACGTCTGCAGATGAAGATAAAAGGGAGTTATTTTGAGAAAAACTATGAAGTCTTGACCTAATTCGTCGAAGGAGACCAAGGTCTCTGTGTCTATGTGTCTCTCTCTCTATAGCGCTTTCTCTGTGTCTCTGTCTGTCTGGTTTCAGTTGTCAACATAGTGCTCCATATAGTCCTTTGTTTATTTTGGATATTTAAAATGTCTTCATGTGGTAAATCTGTCGGGTCAGCACAGGTCAGATGGGAGATGAAGACGATATGATGATGTTGTGCTGTTGTTTCTCAGTGGACCGGCTGCTGGCACCCTCCTACCGTCAGCACATGCCGCTGGAGGACCAGCTGAAGGAGCTTCTGGAGAAGCTGGACCTGAGTACGGCCATGAAGCACAGCCCGTCCCGCACCAAGAGGCTCAAACTCCTCAAGAAGACCATAATGGAGGTCCGCAGCCAGATTGGCTTAAAGAAAGCCCTTTCACATCCACCACCCCCTGCCCTGGATCTCCCACAATGCCCCAGCCAGTGTGAGGAAAAGCTGGGTCCCATAAGCGGATTAGTTCCCGTCCTTCCACCAGCCTCGGAGCGGCTCAGCTCCTCATTTAAACCTGATGTCTCACCATGCGGCTCAGTGCCCCCCACTCTGAAGCCTGTTGTCCCCCTGTCAGAGCAGGCTCCCTTGCAGCTTGATGACAACACCAGCTCCTCTACCTCAAAACCCCCTCAACCCACCAACAGGCCCCTCCCAGACCAGCCACTGCCCAACAGGAACTTTCCCTCTGAATTATCAGGTAGCTGCCCCCAGCGCACCATCTTCCGTAAGTCCAAGAGTGCCAGCCCTCAGAAAGCACCCATGACCCCAGAGCTGCCTGCTGCATCGCCACCCCTCCTGGGTGCCAAAACCTTCCTGTCGGTGGTGATCCCTCGCCTGGAGACCCTGCTGGTCCCCAAGAAAAGGACCCGCAGCAGCAGCACTGAAGACGAGGAGGAAGAAGAGAAGGAGGAGGACGAGACACCCATCAAACGTCTTGGCACAGGTTGAGCTTCACATAACTATAGTGCCCCCTGCTGGCGGCAACGGCAATGTTCCTGACAAGTGACGTGGTGTGTGTGTGTGTGTGTGTGTGTGTGTGTGTGTGTGTGTGTTTCATCTTCAGGGTTAACCAACGGCTTCTTGGTGGAGGAGAAGCTGGATTCTGTGTCTCCACGCATTCTGGAGCCTCGGCGGCGATGTGCCTCAGAGTCCAGCATATCGTCTAGCAACAGCATCATCTGTGACTCCAGGTGGGTTCTGATTGGAGACATGACTAATGACCTTCCAACTTCATTTCTTCAGTTTTTCTAAATGTGGCCCTCATCTGATCTCTTCCAGCACTTTCATGGTGCCTAAAGGTGTGAAGGGTCGACCTACGGCGGCGAGGCGGAGCACCGTGGACGACCAAAGCTCTCTGATGAGCTGTGCCGACAACGGACAATTCACAAAGACTGCCAAGATTTCTTCAGGTGAGAAATGTATCTGCTCCCTTGCTGAAACAGACTTCCCCAGGCTACTTTCTGCTACCTTTCTAATTGTTGCTAGGATATCAGGATAGCTCATGTTACATTTCTTTTCCTCCATGGTTTGATATGTGTGAGCAGATGATGAATAAAACAAGACAAAGGAGAGCATAACCATGAGGAAACTTTACCAGTTTACAGAATCAGAAAAGCAACTTATTCCTCGCTCCAAACATAATTCTACATTAATTACAGTAAGGTTATTGTAACAGGGTACAAGGCTGCTGAAATTATTTTCAGTTGGAATCTGATCTGTCGCGGTACGATTCAAGGAGAAATCAGTTTTCTTCAATGACCAGAATATTAAGACAATTAATACTGAAACTAATAAGTTGGCCCTCAGATTGGTCCAAGTGTCAGACTGGAGTCCGCTGGCCCCGGCTCCAGATGAGTTTAGCAGGGAGGGCATTGGCTTACTTTGGGGGATGGGCTGGTAAACAAGCTTTTACATTAATATAAATACAAAAACAGACCTTTATCTTTCAAATAAAACAATCATGTTTGTTTATACAAAATAAACAACAAGGATGTAAACAGTGACATGTACAAAATGTTCAGTAATTATGCTCAAATTTGCATAAACGAATTCTAAGAATCTAATGTTTCCAATCTCTGAAGTCTGTTCCTTTAAATGCAAAATTAATCTTCTTAAATAAGAGTAGTAATAATTACTCAAGCATAAAGATAAAAAATACAGTTCAGTAAAACTACTCATAAGTACTGTTTTGCCCAAAACGCTGCTCAAGTAAATGTAACCAGTACTACCCACTTTTGAACATAGATGACAAAATCAGTAGCCTAATTTTGTTAACAAGCTTATATTGACATTAGCTAGTCATCATTTAGCTAACATTATTTGCGTACAACAGCATTACTTGACTCACTCTATTAGTGCTGTGCAAAGATATTTGCCTTTTGTTGCCATGATTCTAACACACACCTGTGCTGCTCTGCACAGCAGCAGCAGGTCTCTGTCACTGCTGCACAGCTGTAAAACCGGCACTCATGTTGCGTTTAAAGGAGGCTCGGAAAAACGCATTACAACATGTTAGCCATGGTTGAAACAATTGGAAAGACTGAGAAACGTGCATGTGACAACAGGCACAAATACAAGAAGTACGAGAGTACAAATAATAGAAAGTTGTCCACTTTGAGGTTAAAAAAAAAAAAAAAAACAGGTTCCAGTCCATGTCTGTGGGTGTGTAATGCCACCCAATGCTTGCCCATGCCACCAGGCCTGCATCTGACCCACTGCTGACGGGGGATATGTGGAGCCAGGAGGGTCCCCTCTGACCGGTCAGCGGTTCTCCCCAGGAAGCCTCCTCAGGCGGCTCATTGGGTTCCTCCCTTCTCTGTGGATCAAACCCAAAGAATGGATTGATTTCATTTGCTCTGCAAGGGAGTGAGGGAAGGAGTAGGACACATTCTAGGGAGGGGAGGTGTGGCAGTGCAGCTCTACAGAGCAGCAGGAGGGGAGCACGGAACAGCATTTCTCTGGTCTTTTACTCGTCTGTGAACCAGAAAAACATCCCTTTGCCCTCCCTCCCTCCCACACACACTCACCCCATGTTTACAGGGCTGGAGTTGGTCTGTCCTCATCACACACACAGCAGTATGATTCAGCTCTCTGCCTGTGTTGTATTGCTGAGTGTGTGTTTGTGTGTTTGTGCAGACAGTGTGTCCTGTTCATAACTGGCTTGTTGTTGTTCCTGTAGAAGTGTGGAGTCCCACCGCTGCTTCTTCATTTGTTCTGGAGCCTCTTAAGCTAGTTTGGGCTAAATGTAGTGGATATCCCTGGTTCCCTGCCCTGGTGAGTGTGTGTGTCAGTCTGTCCATACCTCATGCCCCATCTGCCCCATTGGTCCCACCTGCCTTCTGCCATTCTCCATGCTGTAGTTTGTGATGTGGACTGCTGGGTTGGTGTCGTGGCTGTGTGTAAGCAGCTTGTCCTGCTCTGGGTCGGCCTGCATGCTCTTCTCTGGTCGTGGGGCGTTTTCAGAGCAGCTCCGTCTGTCACCATGAATTCCAGATTGTTCTCTCTGTAAGGCGCCGCCCCCTTCTCTTCTTGCTCACAGTCTGTCCCGGGTCTTCACAGATCGTGAATCCCAGAGTTCGGAGGACGTCATGTCAGCACAGCAGGGTGGAGCTTCCCATTCCACCATTGGACGTTCTCAGAGCCGGAGAGCAGATGCAGTTCAGGTCCGCAGAGAAACTCTTCCTCGTCCGCTTCTTCGACAGCAAGCGCAACTGGTGAGGAGCTGAGCATCTTGGCTGCTGTCAGACCTGGAGCTGTCTGAAGCCATACTGTACAATTACAGGGTTTCCGCGCAGTAGTAAAAGGTAATAAATTAGAGCTCAAATTAAGACCAGTAAAAGGTAGTAAGAATGCAGGCCAGTAACTAAAGGTAATATATTTTTCTTCATCCCTTCAAAATAGTTTTCATTTTCCATTGATGCTCACTTATTGTTTTAAGTTTGTTTTCTTAAAATCTGTATAAAAAATTAGTACTACCGTACTGGCAGGACCTGAGCTGTCACTGATGGACTCAAAGCTGCTGTGCGCATGCGTAGTGTTGGGACCGCCTATTGTGTTGAGACTAGCTAGTCATTTTGCGCTTTTCCATGGGAAAATATAAGTTTTCATAACTTTGGCTTGATGATCCAAGATCCAAAGACTAGGAATGACCGAAAGGCATTTTGAAAAGTATGCTGGAAAACATCTAAATTTGATCTGGAACGACGTGATGGTGGTCAAATCACACCGACCAGAGCATCCACCATTCATCAGCAGCAGATTCCTGCACGGGTTGAGGCTCCACCGTGGAGCAGATCCCCGTTTCGTTTTTTGGTGCTAAACGAAGCGATGCAACTGCAAACTGAGCTGCAGACCTTGCTGACACTAAAGCCAGCGCTCAGAGCTGAGCAGCCTTGAACACCGCAGCAACTAAATCAAATCAAATCAAATTTTATTTGCATAGCACATTTCAGCAGCAAGGCATTTCAAAGTGCTTTACATAATTAAAATAAAAACAGCATGTGAGAAAGAGTTTTAAAAAAACAAACATACTCAGAAGTGAAAATTCCACTGCAATTCTTGAAAAAGTGGTAAAACTTTTACGCACAAGTTTATCATTCATTATTAGCCGATACCATCTAGACACGTTTCATGTTATTGTTTACATCCGGAAATTTTGCGAAGGCAAAAAGACGATTGTTTTCCTTGCCCTCTGTAGCTGCGCTGCCACGGTAGAAAGGTTCCGTTAAATGAAACCTTTTTAATGTAGAGCAGTAAATAACTCAGAAAAACCATCAAAGAACAACTCAAAACCACTCGTATCCCCCTCCGTCACTTTCCATGTCGGCTAGCTACACACACTCGTTGCCATAGCAACAAACAGCTCCACTATATGTATGAGGATCCAACACCATAAACCCGCAAACGTTTCCCACACAAAGATCAACACATTCAGTCCTTAACGGTTTCATGTTTTCAGGCTTGATGTTTATTTTGGGATTATAAAATGATCATCTGAACACAGCGGTGGTTGATTATCATCTTGCATGGGTCAGTGAACCGATTGCAGCTTTCTCGCAGATCATAGATTATCAATCTATAAAATGTTTGACCTGCCAATTTCAATTTTAGTTGGTGCCATTTTTTTGATTGAAATCTCACTAAATATAGACAGAAAGTCTCTGAGTTGGTAACACTGAGGTCACTATTGAACAGTGATGGTATAGTTACTTTGAAAAAGTAACTTTAATTGGATTACTGATTACTCCTTGAAAATGTAACTTAGATTACTTGATTGGTAAAGTAACTAAGTTACATTAAAAGTAACTTTTGTAGTTACTTTCAGCAGCTGCTAACAACAACGCTCCACCACCTGTGACAATGACATTGATCTTTGCCAAAACTTAATTGCGAGTTATTTTATAATGGTAACATCAACAATGTTTCTCCACTTATATGGTTGAACTGAAGGGGAGATTGTTTAATGGTTACAACAGTACAAAAAAACTTTAGTAATTTGTGTGTGTTTTTGTGTGTTCCAGTATTGTCTGTAGGATTTTAGGCCCCTCTCTTCCCCCCGCCCCAGCCTCCAGGTTCTGTCTTACGGCTCTGCGTTTGGTGTCACAGCGCACAGAGCTCCTCCTGCCGCTCCACAACTCTGATGTCCTTCTGCACAGATTTGTGATTTGTGACTCTTAATATTAATAATTATAATGGCGTTTAGTTGCGCAACTCTACGGACTCATTCATTCATGGCTGTTTAAACGTTTATTGAACTTTTCATATTAGTCTCAATGTTTGCAGTTTTCTGGAGCGCAACGTGAAGCTCGACGTCATTCAGAGGTTATATATTAACTTGATATAAACAAAGACACAGTGGGACGGATCATCTGGGAAATGATGGACAATTAGAGTCTGACTAAACCTAACTGGATGTCAGACAAATTCTGGGGTTTATTATGTGTCTCTGCTTATTTCCAAGCCCAAATGAGTAACTTCATGTTCAAAAATGAGCCCCAAAAAGTCCAACCCGCGACTTATTAAATTTGCAAATGACTTTAGAAACAAAACAAGCCCAAAACTGCTTATAATAATCTGACTTGGCGACAGAAACTCAGTTCCTGTTTTTCCACCAACTAGATGCGCATCTCGCTTCTCACTGCATTGTTTACATTCCTGTCGCTGCTGACACTGTTGCGGCGGTCGCTCCCCAAGATGCGTAGAGGAAATAACATTAAAGAAAATAGTAATGCAAAGTGATTTTGTAAAGTAACTGTAGCCTGACTACTGGATTTGAAATAGCACCGCATTAGATTACTCGTTACTGAAAAAAGTGGTCACTGCTATTGATAACTACGAGCTTGCAGATATGACATGGTGGGCCGGTCTATCAGTCAAACCTCTCACTGAAGAGCAGAAGAGGAAAGTGGCTGATTTTTAGACCTTTGCTGAAGTAGAAAAGATCAGAGGACAAAATCGGCTTCATGTAAATATCGACCGATCACAGATCTCCCAAAATTGAGGAAACTGACTCGATTTTGTGTTGGTAGTAAAAATATTGTAGAGGTAATAAAAAAGTAGTAAATTAGTAAATTCAGCTCTAGGAATCCTGTATAAACCCTGAATTAAATTTAGCTCCGCCCCTTTCTATTCTGATGCCCCATATAAAATCATGTAACATTTGTTTCTGTGTTGGAACCCCGACTCAGACAGATCATGTAATGCTGAAGTCATTCCATAGATGGCAGCAAAACTGAGTCATGCTATGCTACCTTAACACTGCTGTACGGCAGGTTACATTATCCAACCTGTAACCCATTGATACTTAACATCGCTATTCTGTGTCCCGATACACAGAAACGATAAGAAAAACAGCAAACAATGGTGAACGGTAATGAGGATCAAGATGTTAATGTGCTGGCTTCAGTTGGTCAACAACTTTAACATCACAAGATATGCTATACCGATAGCATCCATGTCTACTTCCACTGAGCACACTCGCTATGTGTGACATTATGGCGCCCTCTGCTGGGCATGTGGTACACTTTTATAGATTCTCACCATTACTCACCTTGATTATGTAGCATATCTGTAAAGATAACAGTATACTGTAATATATGTTAATTCAAAGTAAATGGTTGGTGACCAATAAAAAGGTCAATGGGCTAGTTTCTCAGAAGATACGAAGATGTGACTCATGAAGGAGCAGACGGAGACTGAAGATTTGCAACTGCGAGTGCTTTGTATTCACAGTGGAGAATATTATATACATATTTACAACATCAGTGACAAAATGGCCATATAAAATGCGCAAAAGAGGAAAAAAAACGAAAAAAATTTAGTCAATCCCATAGTTCAATAATTAATAAACCCACACCCGTCAGTTCTTTAACCCCAAGCTGAGGTTGATGAGAGGTCCCTAGCAATTTAATGCTAAAGTGCTTGGTGCAGGCAGGTCATGAACTGGAAAAAGTCAGAGATCAGAGTTGGGGACAAACTTGTTCGCTGGCTGCAAGGGGCCTCCTACCAACCTTTTCAGGAGAAGCAGATGTCTTCACACACTACAAGTGCAATCCTTTTTAAGGCTCTAGACCTAGAACCTTCAGGGGGGTGCAGGGGGTTTGACCCTCTACCCCTTTTATCCTTGATGCCCCTACTGCCCTTTTTTAATAATTTTGTTTTTAATCTGTGTTAGAAGGCCTGCTTGTGCCCATTAACAATAATATTTAGCTAAATATAATAATTTTATGACTCTGACTGTCCTTGGTCTAATAATGAGGATTCTCAGTTTCTCTGCTTGTGTTACTCTAAGTCAGTTTCTCTAAGGTGAAAAAATGGCACAACGCTTAACTGACCTGCAGCTCTGTTCCTCTGAACGCCTCCTAATGTTTGACATTTTTCTGCTCCAGCTAGTATGCCTAGCAGATAGGCTGCTGTAGCGCATGACCCCTGATACTCAACAGTGATTGGCTGTTCAATAATCTCACAAGAACTGATGATAACGTATTAGAATTATCGCAAGATTTATTGTGAGGACATGGAGAGTGGAAGAAACTGGGAAATTGAGGAGAAGGAATTTGGAATTTACACCCGACCCAGGTTATAATTAGATTTTGTGTTGTATTTCTCTGGTGACTCTTATGAAATATCACAACTGATGATCTCTGACCAGTCACCTCATCCTTGTAGATAAATACAAAGTAGTCCATAGTCAGTATTTTTGAAAGTGGCTGGAAAAGAATTTCTTGGGAAAAGTAATTTAATTGTGTTCAGGCATTGAGTTGTGTTAAAGCTACAGTATGTAACTATTATGGAAAATATGTTTTACATATTTTTGAAAACTGTCACTGTGTCATGGTTGTATAACTCGAGTCAGATAATCTGTGAAAAGATCAAGCTCCTCCCAGGCGATCACTGATCATAGCCGATCACCTGGATTGGCTGTTAATTTTTCCATTTTAGTTATAAATGCTTCTATGTTATCTGGCAAAATGGAAAAATTATCTGGCAGTAAATTCACCAGATTTAGACAAAAAACATGCAAAATACTTGTGGGCACAATAAAACTGGTATGCAGTCAAACGGACAATTGAAAAACCTGCAGTTAGTAAAACAATACTTGACAGTAAAGTTCTCAAAGCCTAAATTATACAAGAGTCAAATAAATCTCACAACACTGCAAACATTATCAAATAATGTCAAGTAAAAAAGAAAACGTTCATTCTAAGTCAAATACAGGTAGCATTAAAATAAAAATAAAGTTACTAAATCAAAACTGGCTTGAGCCATTGATAATTGTTGTTTCTGACTGAGCAGAATAATTCTGGAGAACACAGGGAGGAAGCAGAGGAGATCGATTTTTATATTTATTTTTTCTTTTCTTTTTTTTAATTTGGAACACGGTGTATGTCAGATTTTAAGAATCTGGCAAATTTACTTTGTAAAAGTTCACAGAACAATATTCATTGTTAAATTGTTTTGTTACCACAGCTACAATCTGATGCTATGAGTTTAATCTGTGAATTTGAGCTCTGTTTGTTCACAAATACAAATGAGTAAACTACAATTATAATTCATTGCTTTTTAGGTTGGCCAATTAAACTACTCCCCCTCTGACTAAATCCAACACAGAAGCTGTTAGAGGTGCTGATGTTTTTAGCAACAAAGGGGCCCCTAAATCAAATTCTGCTCCAGGCCTCATATAGCCTTGGACCGGCCCTGCATGATGAGTTACATCCTCTGCACTGCACAGAGATGAGCAACAAACAGGAGATTTAATGCTGCTAATGTGACTTTAGTAGCTCTTCCATTTCGTATCTGTTGAGTTTTTAGCAAGGGGACACAGAAACTATTTGGTTGGTCCAGTTTATGGGACGAGTTTCTCAGATCTCTGCACCCATTAACTCTGGGTGGACAAAGCATTTGATATGGTTTACGTACCGGCCAACCGGGACCACAGACATAAACTTTATAAGCACAAACAGAACCAAATGGTGGGCAGCATGTTGAGATGGAAAAGCCGCACACAATTCTTTGTCCACGAATAGAAATCATTCTCACTACTTGCTCAACGCACCTCTGAAAGTGCGACTATAAGTTATTCCTGTGGTTCACGTAGAGCTGCGCAACCAGAGCTACTAACGCGGTGGGGTTTAAACTCCTACCTTGGTCAAAAACTCTGGAAAGAATCATAATTCCTCACAGGGGGTTGATGTAAATATCCATACAGGTCAGCCTGTGTCCAGTTTGAGTGAAAGGAGGCGCGCGCGGTCCGCGCTGAGGTAAACTTAATCCAGCTACTGCAGCGCGCGAGGCAACGAGCAGAGGAACCAGCGGTGTGATTGGTCCGGCTTTACATGCATAAACTATAAATCTATCTTCTATAAACATCTTTTAGGAATAAATCTGCTCTGCCAGTGAAACGCTCAGATCAACAGAGACGCTTGCAATCTGGCTTAAAAAAAAAGCAATTTTTATTTATTTATTATTATTATTATTATTATTATTATTTTCCTAAAAACAAAAACAAGAAAGGTTTAGCCTGGCGGTGGGGCTTGTAAGGTATGCTGTGCTGCCAGGCCTATAATGCACTTGGGGGAGTCCCTGATACCAACATCTCCAAGTTTCATTATGTTAACAGAATTGTTCTACTGCGGCAGCGGCTAAGGATGGCATGTAAAAGAATCTTTTTTTGCCCTCCAGCATGCACGAAATTCCCAGATGACAACAATGACATGCAAGGGGTCCGTGAGCACCACTTAGAAACAACCAGTAAGAGCTAGGAGGAAGGTTTTAGTGCTGTCAGTCAACCTCCTCCTGGCTCTGATTGGTTGTTTCTGGCTAAGGGCAGCATTTCTACAGCTATTACTGAGGAGCTTGATCTTTTCACAGACTGTCTTATGTTATACTACCACAATATGACAGTTTTAACAAATATGTAATACATGTCTTCTATAAAAGTTACATACTGTAGCTTTAGGAGGATCTGGTTAGGTGTTTCTGTATAATGCTTTTTGATCTTCTACAAATCTCCCTTTCCCCAGGCAATGGCTTCCTAGATCCAAGATGGCTCCATTTGGGATCAGCCAGAGCCTGGACAGAGTGAAGCTGATGGAAGCTCGTGCTTCCTCCATCAGGAGAACTGTGCGGCTCGCCTTCGATCGGGCCATGAAGCAGCTGAACGCTGTCAGAGGGGATCTGGAGGTGAATGGTGACAACAGCGGCCTCGCTGCCACACGCTAATCCCAGTCCATCTCAAAAGCTCCACCAACCATCACTTTTCACCTTCATGATCCACGCAGAGAGGACGTTCTGCCTCATACGCACAACACAAACACTCATGTTTACCCGTCCTCCTGCCTGGAGTCCCACAATGACTCACTGTAGTCAAAGCTATGCAAAGGAAGAGCTCAGCGTTCAGTTGGGAGGGCTGAACCTGATGAATGTGTCGGTGCTCGACCTCTGACCTCTTAAAATGTGCTGCTGTGAGATCCTCCATTTGTCAGTGTGTGTATGAGACAGCAGCAGCTCATGTAAATATCACACACACAGCCTGACACTAATTTATTCACTCTTCAGTTTTATTTGGTACACACTCTGATTTTTGGACCTTCAAAGGTAGCTGTGACAAGTGGCAGTTGGTGCTGCTGGTGCTGCTGGTGTTACTTGTGCCACCGGTCCTGCTGGTCCTGCTGGTCCTGCTGGTGCTATCTCCACAAAGAGAACAAACATGCATACTGTATTGTTTTTACTTTTGTTTTATAACTTATTGAGATCTCCTGCATCAAGTTCTTGTTTCTGGCATTAATTCTGTGTGTGTGAATTTTTTTTTGTATCCAAATGTTTTTACTGGACTACTTTACTATTATTTTTGTTTGTAGATATTTATATAAGATCTATATAGAAGCTCCTAAAGTTTTAAAGTGCATCGTTGACATGGAAACCAAAAGGAAAGGAGAACCAACTGCTGCCCGTGCTCATGCTTCACTTTGACGTCTTTTTTTGAGCTTTAACTCATGTCTCTGAACGTCACATCAGTGTGTTCTCCAGCTTAGCCCTGAAGCAGAGCAGAGAATGTGCCTGGACTAATTTATTACAGAGCAGAAACCAGATATGCATCACTTTATATAGAAGGTGTGGTGAGGAAATACTACGGGTGCTCATATCCTCCCCTTTTTTTTTTTTAGTTCTTGTTTGGACTGATGGCATTAAATGTGTGAGGTGTGATATATGCTGATGGGTAGCAGAGTGTAGGCTTCCTGTTGGTCCTCCAGCCCTTCTGGCAGTTTGCTGTAAATATATTTGGTACTTTAGTTGATTCTCTGGGAAGAAAAGAAAAAACACACAGTTCTAGTCAACGGGAACAGAAACCAGCCCAAAGTAGGCTGCTGGAATTTTATACTAAAACACTGAAGAATAAAATATCATATTGAAATACTGGGTCTGTCTCCTTAAATTTTCCTCAACTGGAACTTTCACAGCTGAAATTATTCATTAACATTCTGTTATTCTTTTTCAATAACATTTTTTTTACCTTTCCCTTTTTAAAAAATAAGTTTTTAATGAAAGTAGTTTTAGAACCTTCACCCATTTTGTCAATCAACGGTCGAGTTGATTGACAAAATGGGTGTCAATCAACTCAACTGTTTGTGCAGCAGAAATTTTTGTTTGTGCAGCTTTGGCTTTGAAGATATTACAGTTTAAAGGTCAAAAGGTCAACCAGCCCCCTCACTTTCATAAAACCAAACAAAATATGTCAATCAACTCGGGTACGTTTGTGCTGGTTTGTGAACATCTGTTCATGCTGGATCTGTGAATTTCATTTGAAATTAAGTGCTAACCTTTGAATATGAATATTTAAATTTTAACGTTGATGAAATTCACATGGAACTAGGTATTATTTAGAATGAACTGATAAACCTCCAAAAACAAACTCAGTGACATATTTTAGTTTCTGATCACCAGAGGGCGCTATCAGACAAACTCTACTGTTGAAATATGAAAAGTAGGACTACAGCAAAACGTCCCAACTATCTAGTCTGCTGTTTCCGTCTCAATTTCATGATCGACAGTCATCAACACTTATTTTCATGACTTCAAATCAGTGCACAAGCTAGCAAACTAGCACAAACTGTTTATAAAAGAACTGATGTTCATTGACCTTTGATGACCTCTAGAAACATTTTTCTTAATATCTTTAAAATGATAGCGGCACAAACGAAAATTTTTGATGCCCAAATGTTTGACACCAATTTTGTCTGATTTGAAGAAGGTGAGGGGGCCAACTTCACTCAGGTTGTGAAAACCATGTGACTGATACAGTTGTGTCGTTTGAATCCGAACGCGCCAAATTATATTTATGAGGGAGAAATTGTGTCGATACGTTTGTGGGTTTTGTTGGATGGTGATTGTGTTCTTTGCCTTGCGTTGGTTTTTGGCTCATATTTGAATACTGACTTGTGCGAAATTCTGTTCCCCTGTGAAAATCTGTTCCCCTATGTCGGGAGCGCCCATTGCAGCCAGAGAGGCAGATCCGACCATTTTCACGGCGCTTCTGATCGATTTCTCGGTAAAACAGCTCATATAATGATGTCAAGGTTTGTAACATTCAGTTTAATCAGCAGAGGCTGTTTAAAAAAGAAGCAATAACAAAATTGTAAAATAAATAAACGAGCTCTTGTGCAAGGTCTTCTTACACTTTTGTGTTATTTTAATGGCCAAGAGAATTGGTCTTTTTCCCATTTTGTCACTTAAGCCTGACAAGAAAAAGTCAGTAACCAAACTCAGTTTTCCAACACATTGTGTGTATATTTTTTTATTGCTAATACAAGAGGATGGAAGCTGGCTGATGGCAGGCCACAAAGATTAGACTTCCTGAAAAGATGAGAGCATATAGGCTTTCCCATATAGACAGTCCCGTTCTAATAAATATAGGGCGGATTACTGGTCCTACTAACTTTAACAGTGTGGATTCCACCTGACATAGTCTGTTCCCCCTACAAAGACTGTTGAAAAGGGGAATAGGTTATTTCAGACAGCTAAGATATTTGGTTCCCCACCCATAATTCTGGTAAATAAAGAGCAAATGTTACAAAAATCACAGGATTTGTTGATGATTAGAGCAATAAGCATAGTTAAAGACTTGCTGGAAAATTTATTTGTTCCCATCTTATGGGGAGAACAGATTATTTCAGGTGGTTAAAATATATGGTCCCCCCCCCCCTCAGTTTTGGAAAATAAGGAGGAAATATCACCAAATCCTCAGGATTTATTGTTAATGATGAGAGGAATAAGCACAGTTAAAGACTTGCTGGTAAATTAATTTGTTCCTATGAAATGGAGGAAGAACAGATTATTTCAGGTAGCTAAAATATATTGTTCCTCCTAATAACTGGGAAAAATTAGCAAATGTTTTCAAACTTACAGTATTTGTTGTTCATCAAGAGAGGAATAAACAGTTAAAGACTTGCTGGTAAATTAATTTGTTCCCATGTTGTAGAGGGGTAACAAATTATTTCACCCTGGTGAAAAATAAATATACTTAGTATGTTAAATTTTAGCAAAAGCCCTTTGGGCATACACCCTCTAAAGCCCTCGGGGTGACATGTTTTCCACGTTTTTGAGGTAATTTTCCACTGCAACACCCAAACTTCCCCGTTTACTCAGAGCGTTAAAGTTCCACACCACATACTTTAAAGCCCTACTTTAAAAGAGCTTTTAAAGTATGCCTAAAGCCCTTTTCGCACTGCAGGGTCCGGCACGGAACGGAACGGCACGAGTTCAAAGTAGGGTCGACCGTTTTTGCAATAGAACTTCCGACCCGGTGCCGTTCCGTTCCGTGCCGGACCCTGCAGAGCAAAAAGGGCTTTAAAGTATGCCTAAGTCAGACTAACCATGAGTATACTTCAAGTTCACTTAGGATTAGTTAACTTAAAGTGTGACATTTTGGACCAACTAATTTTGTGCTTAGTGTATTTTAATAGTATTTAAATTGTATTAAAGCACAATTTAAAGTGAACCAAATGTACTTTCATGTACTTTTTTGGAACACTTTAAGTTATACTTAATATACTTTAAGTATATTCCTTTCTATGTAATATAAACATGCTTGATTAGTATATTTTGAGTGCACTATTTTTGTGATTGGATTACATGTAAAACATATTTAGAATGTATTTTAAGTATATTGGCATTACATATTTCATATGTTAGTAACGTGATAACAGAATGCTACAATTACACCTTTGTATTATAATTGCTAATGAAGTACACTTCTTAGTTACTTATTGTCTTATTATTCTGCTTTGCTGCTTTGTACATTACATGCTTCATACACACTACAGTGCTCCGATCAGGTTTTTTGCTGCCGATACCGATCACCAATGAGGCTGATCTCTGCCGATCACTGTTGACTGTTTTTTGCTTTAGGTATGAATGCTACTATATCATCTGACAAAATTTAAAAATGATCTGGCAATAAATTCACCTAATTTAGGCATAAAACATGCAAAATACTTGTAGGTACAATACAGCAGCTATTCAGTCAAAATAACAACTGAAAAACCTGCAACCAGTAAAATAATATTTAATAGTAAGGCTCTCAGTACCATAAATGACACGAGTCAAATAAATCTGCCTATATCAAATAATGTCAAGTAAAAAAGGAAACATTCACTCAAAGTCAAATGCAGGCTGCATCACAATAAACGATCCTTCCTGATAGCATGGCTAGCTGATTAATGCTGGTTCTGATTGGTTGTTCCATCCCTTAAAATACGGAATCGTCCCGTATTTGGTTGTTAAATGTTGCGTCCCGTATTGAACCGATACAGGACACGATTTGTTTCATATTTCTATAAATGTCCAATAGACACGCCTATCCTACACATATCAACACTAAGTGTAACAATAATGACCAAAATAAAACACAGGAAATATTAAGGTGAGCTAAATTCTCGTTGCGGGAGCTAAAGGACCAGAACGCTACGGACCGACGCTGTTGTCCCGGTTGCCTAGAGACGGACACTACGCAGCCGAGGTGAGCTGCTGTCAACCCGCCTCTTTCGAAAACATCCTCGACCCGATTCTCCACCGTCCTTAGAAGAAAAACCTCTCGTAAAGATACAGACGTGAGAAGGAAGACTCAAATCCCAGGCTGAATAATGTTAGTGAGGATAAACACAGGCAATTAAAAAAAATGTGTTCATCGTGGCGCAGTGCTGTATGATACCAGGCAGAATCAGGAGAGGACCACAGCAGACCCTGATATGGTAACATTTTGCTATGATTAAGTTTCTTATTGTGCTTTTAGTAGACTATATTGGTTTGATTATTTGCTTATTTAATGTATAATAATATCAGCCAAAATAATACAAATGATCATTTAAAGAACAAATCATACATTAGATTAACAGTAAATACATAAATACTTCCTACTTTAAAAGGTTTGTTAGGGCTTTCTGTATGTTTTATTTTGAAATGTTTATATATTTTATGAATTCAGTGGTCATTAATGCACCAGACACAGACCTGGAGCGGTTCTAGATGGGGGCCAACAAGGTACCAAAGAAGTTATACAAAATAAATGTCTTACATTAATACTCAGTGGTGGATTTTTTTTTAACCTTCACAATTTTACTTTAACAATGAATTAACAATTATAGTGCTGCACTTTTAACTGTTGTATGGAGATAGGATCACGCTTTCCATCTGCCAGGGATCTGCAACCTGGATCTTTGGAGACACAAGTGGGTCTTTGGCTCACTTATTATATCAAATGATGAATGTGATGGTAAGTAATCTTCACAAAATTACACCGTTTAGCAGCTTCTAAAGTGTCCACCCTGTTTCAAAGAAGAAATCTTACTCAACTTATGACGACAGTCACATATTTTGTCTGCCACGATTCGTTGTTTTCCCACTTTAGCTTCAATGCTGGTTAATACACACACACACACACACACAGAGAGAGGATTACACAACAGTTTTTAACATATTTCCTCCAATATTAGCTAGCATATTGTGCTAGCTAATGTTAGCACTAGGTAAAGTTCATAAACTAGGCTTGTGTAATATTCGCCTGTCTTTATGTTGAATTCGTTAACCAGCGCACATCTGTCGAGTGGCATTAAGCGTGGAAAATACCAAATATATCTGGAAGGAACCTTTGACTGTCTCTTGCTTGCCGCACCACACGCTGTGGACCACAAAGGGAGTTAACCCTGAAGTCCCCAACCACTTCAGCCTAGGAGTGAGAAGGAGCTCCCCTGTGTTTCTCTCACGAAGCTTGGAGGTTCAAAGGTTAACAGCTGGTAGGTCACAGGCCGAAGGAGGATATTCACATAATTTCTGTGTTTTTTATTATTTGGTGTGTTTGTGTCTTGTACTTAGTTTTATTTCAAATTAGATGTAATATGCCTTTTGCTGTGTTATGATATAACACAGCAGAATTACATTGAAATGTAACGTAAAATGTGGTTTAAAAAGTTTTTAAACCACATTCAAGCTGCAGGACCAAAAATAACTAGTAATGCACATCAAACGTGTTTTTCTCAGTAAGCAAACTGTTGAGAAGTAAAACCAAAATTCAAATGTTGCTTCTATACCAGTTTTCTTCAGTCTCACTGATTCTAGACTTTTCCAAGATTGGGGGGTCCAGACCCTCCCGACCCCCCCGGGATTTACACATACGAGTGTATATTTACACTTGGGCAAATACATATTTTGTTCACTTAAAGTATATTTAATATATTTCTTAAAAGTGTATTTTGGTGCAATTATATTTAAGTATGTTTAAAGTTATGTCAAAATTGGTACAAGCATAATTTTAGGATACTCCATATATATTTATAGGTAGTACACTTAATACTTAGTATACATAAAATATACTTGCATAAATGCAAGTATATTTTTAATATACTAAAGTATATTTTTTTCCACTAGGGATAAAGGTAACTACTTCCTGGATTTTGCCTATCACAGGTTCTTTTTGGAACGCAAGCCCTGCAAAAAACAAGGGATCACTGTACTTATTATACTAAAAGTGTAATAAATTTGCTTCTAGTACTCTTTTTAAAAAATATATATTTTTGGCACACCTTCTAAAGATATATTTTTCTAAAATATACTTTAAATTACATTTAAAGTATATTTAAATATACTTTAAATATATTTATACTTTAGTAATCTTTATTACCAAAGAATTTATTACTAAAGTTATACTTTGGATAATCATTTTAAAAATACACTGCATGTATTTGTATAAATGTACATTTTATAAATATATTACAAATGTATACAAATAATATTTTTGTGAAGTTGTACTTTTGGTAGCATTTTCAAATATGTTCTGTGTATATTTTAGTAGACCTTAATAAATCTCAAAATAAATACACTTCAATAATATCTCTAAGTACTTTGTAAATAGTATCTAATAATTAGATTAATTATACAAAGTATTTCAATGAAACACTTTCAGTGTTTACATACATGCTGCTTTATCCTAACTAAGTATGCTTTATGGGGTGCCTTAGTAATCTTTTGCTTTTTGTTAAAAAGGCAAATCTATATATATACACATACATATAGGGGGATTAACAACATTAACAAGATTCCCCTTGTTTATCTTTTTCAGTGTGCACACAATAGAAAAGAGATAATCTGTTGTTTCAATGTCATTGTCACAAAAGATACAGCTATTAGTGTCAAAGTTGAATCTTTGTCATAATAGTTCCCTGGATGGAAAAATGTTTAGAATTTTAAAATGAACTTCTTTAGCTTTAGGACTTAGAGTGTATTTAAGGTAAGCAGTTCTCCAATTAACCTCTGAATCAGAAAACAAATTTAAAATTTAGTTTCTATTTGGTCAGACAGGAAATATACAATTAGTTAGATGCTGACACATCCTTTTGGTAGAGTTACTTTTGTCCAAAAGGTTAACTCCAAACAGTTGAAGTGCAGGTAACTGAAGGTCAGCTGATTGAATGTTTATATTTTGAACCAAATATTTGACTGCAGTGGGGATGGAGTTCAATACTGTGTTAAACTGAGTGCGTCAGCCGTCCAAATTATACAATAAGCAAAATTCGTCATTAGACAACCAATCTCAACTGTCATTATGAAACAAATACCTTTTTCCATCCAGTGATCCAAATATGGGCTGCACTGTCAGTTTAATTGGTCTCTCTAATTCTCCTTAGGTGTGGGTGCATAGTCCCATCTGTCTCTGTGTTGCCCTGCGACAGACTGGTGACCTGTCCAGGGTGATCCCGCCTCTTACCCTAAACGTTCACTGGAGATAGGCACCAGCACCCCTGTTGACCCCACTAGGGACAGGAGTGTACAGAAAATGGATGGATAATACAGAAAAAGCAAACGATTACTAAGGCACCCCATAAAGCATACTTAGTTAGGATAAAGCAGCATGTATGTAAACACTGAAAGTGTTTCATTGAAATATTTTGTATAATTTGTCTAATTATTAGATACTATTTACAAAGTACTTACAAATATTGAAGTGTATTTATTTTTAGATTTATTAAGGTCTACTAAAATATACACAGAACCTATTTGAAAATACTACCAAAAGTACAACTTCACAAAAGTATTATTTGTATATATTTGTAATATATTTTTTAAATCTACATTTATTTTTATAAATGTAGATTTTAAGTGTACATTT